TCCCTACAATTATTAAACATTTCTACATACACACTGAATTTAATCCCAAATGTTGGGTCTTATAGCCTTATTAACAATACTCAGAATGGTACTTGGTAAGAGCAATAATGTTCTGATATTCATTTATTAGTAAAAACTAATTTATTAGACTCAATCCCAAAGACAAAAATGAATAACTGGTGAACAAAAGCTATAAAAGAACAGACAAAACACCTAAGACCACTATTATGAATGATGATGATTCCAGGCTTGCAAAACGATCCTAATAACTTACCAATAACTCCAAGACTGGTTAGCCGAAGATACTCAAAGGGACGTGTTTTGCTGACAGTGTGCAAAAAGGGGTACAAAAAAAGTGGGATGTGTGCTGCAAGAAATGCTGATCTGAAAGAAAAAAATAATCACATTCAGACCCCAGAGTTAATTTCTAAGGATTCTGAACATTCCCAGGTGGTTAATTCTGTAAGGCCTATAACACTGCTTGACCAAGGAATCTCTAGGAAAGACTGTTACTGGTCATTAGTCTAGACCAGTGGCTCTCAGTTGGGGTGATTTTGCCCCCCCCCAGGGGCAATGTCTGGATATATTTTTGGCTGTCATACTGAAGGGATTGACATCCACTGGGCAGAGGCCAGGATGCTGCTAATCCTACAATGCACAGGACAGTCCCCTCTTATCCCCCTCCTCCCACCGCAAAGACTTAATCCAGCACAAAATGTCAATAGTGTCAAGGCTGAAAAACCCTAGCCTAGACCAATGGTTAAGAGAACACACAATTTTCCCTGTATTCAGTACCAAGTACTTTAAAAACTGATAAAATATCCAATTGCAAGTTTTAAAAAACAGGTCATAAAATGCACTTAAGGGCCCAAGAGATTCTCCTAGATGCCCTCCCTCACCTAGTTTATGGGTGAACAGTAATATTCACAGGTAGGAGCTGACAAAATCTTATAAACCAAGACAACAAAATAAAGCAGCCATTATCAAGGTTTACCTGTTATGCTTAAATACTCTTTTTTGGTTAGAGCTTTCAGATACACTAAGTATCCTAAAAACATTTTAATCTGCAGCTAATATGTTCAGCAACTAATACGGAATCAGTCTATTACTTTATATAATTTATAATTATACCTTACAGGAGAGCCAACACCCAAAAATTTTAAGAAAGTACTCTTGCAGTTTTAAGTACTTAAAAGTAATTTTCTTAGCAATGTTTCTAAAGTTCCGAAATGTCAGTGCCAACCTAGCACTCAGATTTCATAAGGAAAACTTGACAAAGAGAGGAAAGGCTTTAATAAAATGACTATTAAGTGCTTTAAGGCCATAAAAGTCACAAAACAGATTCCTGAACAGAATCTCCCCTTTCTTAATTTGTCAGATATAGCAGGAAGGCAAAAGTGTCTCAATTTGAATGCCAATTCTCATTTATTACAGAGGTTGCCTAAAATCCTATGTTAAAAAAGATTCTGAAGCCAAATCTGACTTACTATGTGAGAAAAAAGTGCTGAGTCCAAATACTAACTGAACTCCTACTAAATGCCATGCACTGTGCCTCATGTGTGGCACAGTGATGCCTACCATGGATTCAGGAGGGAGAAGTAGCTGTATGCCTGACCTTTCCTGAGAGGTGACCACCAATCCTTTAAAGTTCCTTGCTACCAATGGGTAAAAAGTAAATAAGACAATGGAATACTATTCAGACTTAAAAAGGAAGGAAATGCTGACATATGCTATAATATGGATGAACCTTGAGGATATTATGGTGAGTAAAATAAGCCAATCACAAAAAGACAAATACTATAAGATTCCATTTATAACGAGGTACTCAGAATAGTCAAAATCATAGATGGAAAGTAGAATGGCAGTTGCCAGGGGCTGGGGGCAGGGGAATGGGGAGTTATTGTTTAAGGGGTATGGAGTTTAAGTTTTACAGGATGAATAGAATTATGGAAATGGATGGTGGTGATGATGGCACATTATGAATGTATTTAATACTACTTAACTGTATATACTTTAAAATGGTTCAAATGATAAATTTTACATTATTTATATTTTATAATAATTTGAAAAGGCAAACAATTAATTATGAAAGAACATGTTAAACAATACCATATTGTTACTACACTAAAATCTGGTGAATTAGAGACCAGAAATTCTTGAGGAAAAAAAAAAAGTAAGAGTCCCGAAGATCCACACCCACACACGTGCACCCTACTGCATGACCCTCCTCTCATCATTCAGAAGTTAGGACCACATTCAATACAAACCTCTACCCACACACTCATTCAAAGTATTTACCTGGTTTCTGGGTGTGATGCTACACATTGCAATAATGCCAGAGCGTTGCAAACTCTATTAGATTGGTGTGCTGTCAAGGTGGGTGGGTTGATAGATGGATAAATATTTACAATTTCCTAAAAATGGAAATCAGCACCAGATGAACAAGGTGAACTTTAATTCCCATGGTATGAAAGCAAACAACTTTAATTCCACGTATCCTATAAGAACCGAACCATCAAAGAGGGGGAAGAAATAAACAATACTCCTATCCTTTCATCATAAATATACCTGACTGAGACTATCTGAGACATTTCTATATATATCTCTAAGAAGATCTCTATGGAGGCAACTCTGGTCAACCATACTTCTTCCTATATCCTGCATCATCTGTTGAGGCTTTCACTTGAGGGACTCATATTTATAATCCCCCCCTTTGTCAACACCCTACTTTTAGTTGCAGTGATGAGACAGCTAGCCAGAAAGTGTTAGTAAATCAACCACAGTGACTCACAAAAAAGTTTCTGTTTGGTCAGGTAGCAACTGCAAAAAGGGGGAGATAAGAACATGGGTATATGTGTGGGGATATGTACAAACAGCAGGCAATATATGTATTCTCTGCTAAAAGGCGATGATTTGCTGAACACAATTCCATTTATCTTAATTGTAAAACTTTTACACAGAAAATGTTCCTATAAGAAAGATTAGTTTCTTGGGTACGTGTTGTAGGGACAGAATATGAATTTACTTAACAGATTAAAAAAATTAATCTAATTATTGGGAATTATGGACAATATTTTAAAGGACGATCATTCTATCTTGGTTCTTAGGACTATACCATATCAATTTATTCCCCACAAATGACCGTTCTGGTCAGAACCAAATTTCAGTTATTTATTCTTCAATGTACAAGAATACCCACCTTTAATCCTACAGTTGTTATACCTTTATCTTAACATTTTCTTTCCCCAGAATATATCTTTCAGTTCTTATACCTTCCTTTCCATCCCCCCCACCATGTAGTAAATATTATTTTGTAGCACTCCTAAAGTTGTGTTTCTCAAAGTGTAGCTCTTACACCATGTACATTGGAATCATCTGGGTGTGGGGGAGCTGCCTGTTAAAAATAGACTTTTCATCTTAGACTAAATAAATCAAATCTCTTGGGTAGGATCCAAGAATCTGCATTTTAACAAGTACCTTAGACTTTTCTAAAACAGATTCTTACAAATGCTAACATTAAAAAATATATATACATTCTGGGACTTCCCTGGTGGTCTACTGGTTAAGGCTCCGTGCTCCCAATGCAGGGGGCCCGGGTACGATCCCTGGTCGGGGAACTAAGATCCCACATACTGCAACTAAGCCCGCGCACTGCAGCTACTGAGCCTGCATGCTCTAGAGCCCATGCACCGAGAGTAGAAAAGCCCGCATGCCACAACAAAAAGCCCACGTGCTGCAATGAAGACCCAGTGCAGCCAAAATAAATAAATAAACTAATTAAAAAAATAAAGTTTAGGACTTCCCTGATGGCGCAGTGGTTAAGAATCCGCCTGCCCAGTGCAGGGGACATGGGTTCGATCCCTGGTCCAGTAAGACCCCACATGCCGCGGAGCAACTAAGCCCGTGCACCACAACTACTGAGCCTGCATGCCACAACTACTGAAGCCTGCACACCTAAAGCCCGTGCTCTGCAACGAGAAGCCACCGCAATAAGAAGCCTGTGCACTTCAATGAAGAGTAGCCCCCGCTCACCGCAACTAGAGAAAGCCCCCGGGCAGCAATGAAGACCCAACGCCGCCAAAAATAAATGAATAAATAAATTTATATAATAAATAAATAAATAAAGTTTTAAAAAATAATAAAAAGAAAAAACCATCCTACCAAAGTTTTCATAATTATTTGGGCAAAGGCAGAGAGATACAAGTGTGATAAACAGGAATGACATGCAACTCATGGATATATACCCACCTGTAAAAGTGCTGCAATAGTACCAAATGAATGCCACAGCATGGGTGCAAGGTCAGGAACAGATTCTCTCTTTTTACTTAACTCCAGCAAAGCATTTTCCCTTGTCTCAGGACTGGACAGCTCATTGATCCACTGATAGATCTTTTCTCTATCCACCTGAGCCAGTGCAGTAGGCACAGGCTTCAAGTGAAAACAAGAGAGTAAACGTGAGTTTCATTAGTGTCAAATCAAGTCTTACTGTGCAGTAGCCTTTGGAGGGGACATATTTTTTGTAAATACCAGGGGAGCTTTTCTAAATACATATACTTGATGTAAATGAATTAAATCTATCAAAATCTAAAAGGCACACACTCTTTAATAATTCCATGTTTAGAAATTTATCCTACAGGTCTACTTGGGCTGTACTGAAGATATACCAGAATATTTACTGTTGCACTATTTTAAAAGCAGAAAACTTGAAGTCTATCAACATCTATCAATAAGGAACTGGTTAAATATACAGGGGTAAATTTTTATATGGAATACTACATAGCCCCTTAAAAAAGTTAGCTCTATACTGTGCTGATACTAAATAAGAAACAAAAAAAACCCAAAAAGGGTGCAGAACAGCATATACGCTTCCATTAACACACACATATATTCTTATATATTTATATACTACATTTCTAGAAGTACACATAAGAAACTGTTAACAGTAGTTACCTCTAAGGTTGGAATCTATATGGGAGACCTACTTGTCATTGTATACAATAAAATCTTCTGCATATAGTTTAAACTTTTTTTTAACCATGTGCCTATGATGTTTTTTTGAAAGAAAAAGCCCTCCCCCGCATTGCTCTTCCTTCCCCAGTAATTCCAGCATCCCCCTCCATGAAGCAGAAAATCTATGTAATTTGGAAAAACTCCCCCCTCTAATGATTCTTATACATATTGTACCTCCACCCCTCGGAGATTCATTCATTCCTTACTCGTGTAGTGGACTATATGAACAGAACATGCTTTCTTTATTGTGCTAAAGGATCTAAATATTCCAAAAAATTTGAGCACTTCTGTAATTCTTCACATTTGTCAAATAGGCTTGTTACCTTGGTTAAGTCTCTTAACTATTCTTATGTGGAAGATAAGATGGGAGACTAGAAAAATGATTACCATTGCTATTTCTGGCTCTAAAGTCCTAACAAATTCATGGTGATTTCCATCCCTAGCCCAGTATTTTCTCACTTAATTTCCCCCCAAACCATGAGGAATTATAGGGTAGGTAGACAGAAAAAAGGGATCTACACTTGCAGATGAAACTACTAATGCTCAGAGGAATTAACTTGCTCAATTCACCCAAGTACAAAAGTTGCATATTCCAATCTTTCTTGAACCATATTACACCAGCTTCTCACACTACGCACATGTTCCCACTACACCTTAGTGTGATAGAATGATGACCTACCCGTCGCACAGATATAAAAATGAGGAACAAAAAGGAAAACTGTGTTTGCTGAAGAACAGAATGAAGTCTCGGATGGACTTTGAGGAGTAGTCACATTTACTCAAGCTGAACAATTGCCTTCTATAAATGGAAGCTTGATTAGAAGCTTTTAGTTTAACGTTTATCATTTCTCTTGCTTGCTAGAATAAACCACAAGGTGTTCTGCTAAACAGACTAAAATACCATGTAACTTAAGTCCTTTTTAAGTGCCTCAGAGTAATCTGCTAAAAGCTGTTTTGTAATTCCCATCAGTGGTGCTCCTCAAGAAAACACAGGCTCCTAAATGATGTAGAAGGAATAGTTTTCCTGCCCTCCCCTCCCAACAGCAAAAACAGTATGGTCCAAGCACTTGACTTTTCTATGTTGCCACAGATAGGCCCTTGACTTTAAAAATTATTTTTGGAAATGTAATTCCCACCAGAAGATAGGATATGTTTACATTTAGAGTATTACATCACCTTAAAAGCTCAGTAGAAACAAGGGCTAAAATTTTAGCTTTGGGTTTCCTGCCCACCGTCTCTTGGATGACCCACAATCCTAAAGAGGGCCCCACAGACAATGCTCCAGCAATATAGTATCTATCCTGATTAGTCATTACTCATTCCTAGAGGCCTGTCATCCAGACACCACCATCAGTAAACTCCATCACCCTCTCTAAAGCCAATGTGTGACTTGTACCCAGCGCCCTGTACTCTATCCTGTCCTGGGGAACCCTAGGTGAACAACGCCAGGCTGCATTGGTAGACACCAGTCAGCATATTGTGGCTTCTGAACACCAGGTCCTATCTCCACATATGACATTTCCAGAGCTGGCTTGACTACAGCAGAGGAGATCGTGCCCCTGGAGTGGTGCTGGCACTCTGAAGGGTCAATATCTGGTGCCTACTTGGGTCCCTAAGGCCATGACCACCTGCTGCTAGTAATACTCCAACTTCTGAAGTTGCTTGTGGGAACTGCAGCCTCCATTGGACTTTAGTTCTAAGAGAGCTAGGGACGTCAGGTGGGTGGTAATGTGGCCCTCAGGTATAAGCTTAGAGATGAGTTCTGCAGCCACTCTAACGAGAAGGCAGTTAGGGCAGTTTGGTACCAGGAAATATCTGAGGTAGGGACCCTCCTTTTCATCACCCCTGGTGAATTTTGCCCCAAATTTAATAGGAGGAGTTAGTTTAAACCCACTGAATACCTATTTGTTATCGGATGAATACAATTATTTCTTAAAAGTGAGAGCTCACATACATAGTGCTTACTCTGTTAGGCACTGTCTTAAATAAATACTTGTCATTACCACCCTCATTTTATAGATGAGAAAACTGAGAAGTTATTTAAAAGTTAAGTGGCAAAGCCTAGGATTTGAATTCAGGTAGTCTGGCAGCAGAGTCCATACTCTTAACTGCCTTGCTAATGCTGCTTCTCACTTGCCTGAAAGATTAGGTCTGATCTAAATACAACTTTCCAAAAAACTATTTCCTGTGACCTAGACAAAAGAGATAGGAAATATATAAAAATCTCAGACAAAAATTAAAATGTTACTGCTGTTAGTTCAGCAGAATCTGAAAAACAATCAGCACCCATGAACAATATCATTGATACTAAGAGAAATTCTCTACTTATTGAGATTATGAGGTACTTAATAACCATCATTTTAATGGGAAAAGTCAGTGAAATAGTTTGACATAGTTCCCTATGTCAAATCATGGCTCAGATGGGCATAATTCAGCTAGTGATAACCACCAACACACACACACACACACACACACACACCCCTTCCCTACCTACATCAACAAGTAATTTTATAACACACAAGGAAAGTTAGTTATTTTGGAGAATAAAAATGAAGTATTTTTACTTTTTTTTTTTTTTTTTTGGCCGTGCTGCTTCCCTTGAAGGATCTTGGAACCCGGGTCCTGGCAGTGAAAGCGCCAAGTCCTAACCACTGGACCGCCAGGGAATTCCCATATTTTTACATTTTGAATTACGCACTGATTTCTATATTAACTTATATTACCAGACGACTGATAAAATACTTTGGACTTCATCCCTGAATAAAGCCCCAAAGCACAACTCCAGCATCTTACTAGATCTTTTTTTTTTTTTGCAGTATGCGGGCCTCTCACTGTTGTGGCCTCTCCCGTAACAGAGCACAGGCTCCGGATGCGCAGGCTCAGCGGCCATGGCTCACGGGCCCAGCCGCTCCGCGGCATGAGGGATCTTCCCGGCCCGGGGCACGAACCCGCGTCCCCTGCATCGGCAGGCGGACTCTCAACCACCGCACCACCAGGGAAGCCCCTTACTAGATCTTGATGGTAATAAAAACCCCAAATGCATCTGACTCTCCTTCTGAATTCCAAAGATCATTTAGGCACACCTGTCACAAAAATGTTAGAATCTGAAAATTGATGCCTTCCTAAAAGGGAGTGGGAAGTAAAAGAGGGGATGGAGTAGATGAGGAAAGAGAGGGAACTGTATTGTACTTTTATTTATTTATTTATTATTATTATTTTTTTTGTGGTACGCGGGCCTCTCACTGTCGTGGCCTCTCCCGTTGCAGAGCTCAGCGGCCATGGCTCATGGGCCCAGCCGCTCCGCGGCATGTGGGATCTTCCCAGACCGG